GGCATCTGTGACGAAGACCGGCTGGGGTCCGCCCGGGTACCGCGGGGGACCGCCCGGGGACCGCCCAGGACTTGCATGTGGCACTTTTCGTCAGGGGGCCCCAAGGGGCAGCGACGCGCGCGCGAACTAGAAATATTCAAATATGTTACGGGAGATTTTAGCACGACTTTGGCCCATTGGGCCGGCGAACTATTTAGTGACGACGCGCCGTCCTGGCGTCAGGCCTGCTTGCATGCAGTCGAAGAACAAAGAATAGCACAAGCAAAAGGTTCGCGATGCCTTCTTGGATCGAATGCCATCCCTCTGTGATCCCCCCGCGAGGGCGCCCTCTGTGCACGCCGCCCCTCTTGCAAGGGCGTCTTCGGTGCTCGCTATCCCCGAGGTGGGGGATAGCATGTAACAAGCAGGCCGGCGGCGCCACGCCGCACGCCTATCTCTGCAACGCCAAAGGGTTGTTGTTGCAATCCTGTGCCCTCTTGGGACGCATGAGGACATACCATAGTACCACGTGCCTCTGTTGGAAACGCACGTCCGACCCGAACGTATAGCACAACATCTTGTAGAACATCGCTTCCCGAACGGCATGGCCAGAGAGCGCCCACCACGGAGCCCACACCATACGAGTTCCGAGCGTGCGCGTCGCCCTCGAGTGGCCGACGCACCCATCGTATAAGTATGTTTGAGTGGTGCTGATGCCTGGCGGAGCGAGGCGGAAAGGCGCCGCCTCGGACCAGCGGCCGCCGCCGGCTGCGCCGCCCGCGCGAAGCCGGGCTCGGCGGCGCAGGGGGCGGCCTGCCCCGTGAGCGCGCAGGCCGTAGGGAGCGGCGAAGAGCAGCGGCGGATCGAGGAGAATCGAGGAGCAGGAGGGAAGAGGGAGGGTCGAGGGGGAGGAGGGGGAGAAGGAGGAGGAGGATCGAGGAGGGGGAAGGCGGAGGATCGAAAAGGAGGAGCTGGAGAGGGAATTTGAATTGGAATTGGAGTTGGCGTTGGAGTTGGAGCTGGAGTCCCTGGACGAAGTCCTTACAAACCTCACATCGGCCACGCCTCGTTCTTACGAGCTAATTCAGATATCCCGCAAACCTTGGATCACAAGCCTAGCCCAATGCGCCTCAGATATGGTTTACGAATGCGTGTGGGTGTGGATTTAAACTCCCTTCCAAGACCTAACAACTGCTGATCCCCATACATCCCACAGCTAGCGCAGAACCAAATACCTAGATCCTGGCACAGCCTCAAAAATGGGAGTGGTGGGTCCACCCCTCAGCAATGTGAATCACCTTACCCTCAGGCGGAGCACGACGGGAGCCATCTATGGCAACGAGCTTGAAAAAAAGGGTCTTACGCCACTCCCGAACGCGAGCAGCCGACGTGGAGCTCCGACAAACCAGGCACCGACGCCCATAATCCGCGAGAACGTGAGCAGACTCCAGAACAGGCGAAGCCTGGGGATCGGGCTGAAGCAAGAGGAGGAGGAGGAGGAGGAGGAGGAGGAGGAGGAGGAGGAGAAGGAAGAGGAGGAAGAGGAGGAGGAGGAGGAGGAGGAGGAGGAGGAGGAGGAGGAGGAGAAGGAGGAGGAGGAGGAGGACCCCTCCTTCGCCCAGAGCCCCGAAGGTGCCTCGCGGTCTTCTGGGCCTGGTCGACCACGCGCTCCACCCCGAGGGCGTCCAAGCTGGCGCGCATGATCCTGAGGCGTACCAGGTACGCCAGACTTTCGTTCTCCAGCACACGTCGCCGAACAGCTTTTCGAAGGCGGGCGCGACGGGCTCTCTCGGCTGCGAGCACACCTACCGCTGAATTACCAGACACGAGCACCTGCTGCGATATCCTCGCCGCCCAGGTGGGAGCTGACGAACAGGACTATGACATGCTCATTCCGTCGCCCACTGCGAACTCTTGGCCAGTCTTGGCCCAAACGCGTGCTCACCAGCAGGGATGTCGAAAGCACGCGCATACTCACCGTCAGAAACCATATGGGTGTCAGCAGCATAGATGATGAAATCCGACGCTAACCGTATACTGGCCCAGAACATGTACAACTCCCCTCGGGGGACAGTTTGAACTGGGCCAGGCAAACCTCCTGACAACCATGAAGCAATGTCGACCTGAACCTCACTGGCGTACTGCACAAGGCCCAGCCCAACTCGTCTGAAAAAGGGGTCCCGCGAGTCGGGGCCCCCACTGGCGTCACCGAAGAGCAGCATTGGCCTATGAGCAAGACCTGGGCCGAGAGCGCTGTCGACCACGCCGTCCTCGAAGCCCGTGTGATACCACACCTCTTCTCTTCGTCATCAGGAGCTGGAACCTGCGTCCAACTCCGAAGCATCGCCCCCCTCAGCCAGAAAGCTGGCTCAGCTTGATGCCGACTCTGAGCCTGCATGTACACCTCGTCGGTCAAGGCAAGCAGCAAGCAATCCGCACAGACCGCTGTTTTGACTGTGGCCTGAGCCCTTCTCTCACGCGGCCGAGCACCACCTGCAACACTGAAACGCGAAGTTCCCCCAGACGCCGTCCCTGCGGATCTGACACCAGCTGCCGTAGCAAGGCCCTGACGGAGAAGGTGCCGATGCTGTCCTCAACTTCTTCCCCACACAAATGTCCAGCAGCACGACGCCACATTACGGCATAAGAGGTCTCATCGGAATCCTCCGTAAAATCTTTGTGTCGCTCAAGGCGGCCACGTCGGAAAACGAGGACTCGGGAAACCTCCACTCCGTGCCGTCGAGCATGATCCAGTTCACGGGAGACTGCAAATCCCCACCTCGCCTTTGCAAATATACAATGACAGCAGAAACTGGTCCAATCACCCACCTGGATCGATTGGCCGCCGGCATGGCCCTCAGGTGTCGACCTGGCGAGCCCTATGCTCTGATAACTCCTGGACGAATATAGGGCGCATAAACCACTGATGAAGCCACATTTGCAGACACTCTTGCGGGTAAACAATACCAGGATCCTGATTGGGAGCTTTGATGGCCAGCATGGTGGTCAAACACGAGCCACTTCCCACCAGCAGAAACCACAGCGGCAAGCCCCCTACGAAAATTGATCAGCCGCCTCCCAAAGGTCCCGTGAACAAGCTGTCCGTAGCTCCCTGTTGCAAAGGCCCCGCAGCGTTCGAGTCGTGACGTGATAGAGTATTGCCGCCAGCCCCTTGCATATCTAACAACGGTGCCATGCAATTTGCTGTGCTTGGCCGCTCGCTTGACTCCGGTGGCCCTGGCTGCTCTCCTCCCTCCTCCTTGGTCGACACTCAAGTAGGCACCCTGAAGTTGAGCGTCCACATGATACCCTTTGGCGCGTAGTCTACTGATGATATCATTGGCGTCCCCGTGGAAGGAACACAGCACCTTGGATTGCGGGCATACGTCAAGTTGCCAACGCGCCAACTCATTCAAAGTGTCAGCCAAACACTGGGTGAGGCCATCAACCGCCGCCGACCTGGAGCCCGATATCCGTTGCGAGAGGTCGTCGACCCAGATACGGTGCCCTAGTGCAGGAATCGATCGGGATACCTTGGTCATCACAAAGTGTGTCATACATTGGGAAAGCCGTGTGCCTCCTCGGAAGCCTTGAATGATAGACCTGTTGACGGCGCGCCGCGACGCATTGAGCAAGCTCCAAATACAGCACCACTGGAAGGTAGCCTCAAGGCCGTCCCGGCTAGAATATCCCATTCGATGCCGTCACAAAAGCCTATGATGTCCAACATGCCATGACCGCTGGGCAGCTGAAGCCATCCCGCTACCTCATCCGTGATCGTGCAGTGGAAAGCCTCGACCAATGAGCTATTGCCGCGCACCGCGGCGCCCCACTCTGTCTCGATCAAGCCGCACCATTCCCGGAGGAGGAGGAGGAGGAGAAGGAGGAGGACGAGGAGCAGCAGTGGGGGGTGATGAAATGAGGCAGCGGCCAAAAGCCAGTGAAGCCAGGGGGAGAAAGAAAGGAGGAGGAGGAGGTGGAGGAGGAGGAGGCGGAGGAGGAGGAGGGGGAGGAGGAGGAGAAGGAGGAGGAGGAGGAGGGGAGGGGAATGAGGAGGAGGAGAGAAGGAGGAGGAGGCGAAGCAGGAGTAAGGAGGAGGAGGAGGAAAAGGGAGGAGAACGGAGGAGGAAGGATGTTTGGATTGCATTCTCTGAGGGAGGAGGAGGAGGGGGATGAGGTGAGGAGGGAGGAGAGGGGGGAGGAGGGAGGAGGGAGGAGGGAGGAGGGAGGAGGCGAGGAGGGAGGAGGAAGGGAGGAGGAGGAGGAGGAGGAGGACGACGACCGAGAGGAAGGAGGAGGAGGAGGGGGGGGGAGGAGGAGGAGGAGGAGGAGGAGGAGCCCACCGGAGTGAGGAGCGAGGAAGGAGGAGGAAGCGAGGGTGATGAGGAGGAGGAGGAGGAGGAGGAGGAGGAGGCATACCTCTCCTCCCTGCTCCTCATCCTCCTCCTCGATCCTCGATCATCTCAGGTCCTTATCATCCTTATAGATGCTCCCTTCTTCTCATCCTCGATATGAGCAGTTTTTCGCCGATTGCAGCCCTCTGGGGCCCAACATCGGAATCGGGCCCAAGGACTATCAAAAACGGATCAGGGGCGAGCAACTACCTCCAGGTAAGGGGGCGGGATCTCTGGGGCTGTGCATTTTTTGGCACCACAGCAAGAACAACAACAAAAAATGTCGCCGGACGTAGGAGCGCCATGCCTCCTCCTCCTCCTCCCTGCCCCCCCCCCATCCCCCCCCCTCCATTCTTCCTCCTCCTCCTCCCCCTCCCCCTCCTCTCTCCTCCCTCCCTCCTCCTCTCTCCCTCCCTCTACCCTCCTCCCCTCCCATCCCCCTCCCCCTCCCTCACTTCCCTCCCGTCCCTCCCTCCCTCCCTCCCTCCCCTCTCCCTCCCTCCCCTCCTCCCTCCATCCCTCCCTCCCTCCCTCCCTTCCTCCTCCCCCCACCCTCCTCCTGCGCTTCGTCCTCCTTTTTGCGTTAGGCAAACTGCAAGCGCTATGCTTGCAGCTTTCGTCGTTAGCATTGAAAAACGCAATAAGCCGACCCAGGCACATAGCCTGAATCAAGGCTGCAGGATTGTGCGGTAAAACGATGAGCAAATAAAAATTATCCTGGCGAAGGACCCAACCAGATGCAGTTGCGAGTACCGCAATTGTGAGTATCTTCTTCGATGGCGCTCCCTATGGGGCCACGAACCGTGTGAGGGGTGTGCCGAAATCTGTGCGGTGGGCGCATGGGAGCGCAGCCACTGGGGCCTTCGCTGGAGCTCCCTATGGGGCGAGAAAACGGTGAGGGGCGCTCCGGACTGTGCTTCCGAAATGGGTGACGGTGGGCCCGCATGGAGCGCAGCCACTGGGGCCTTCGGTGGAGTCCCTATGGGCACGAAAGTGTAGGGGGGCGAAAAATCTGTGCGCGTGGGAGCACATGGAGCGCAGCCACGGGGGCCTTCGCTGGAGCTCCCTATGGAGCCACGAAACGTGTGAGGGGTGTGCCGAAATGGGTGTGGGTGACGCATGCGGGCGCGGGCACTGGGGCCTTCGGTGGAGCTCCCTATGGAGCCACGAAACGTGTGAGGGGTGTTCCGAAATGGGTGTGGGTGACGCATGCGGGCGCGGGCATTGGGGCCTTCGGCGGAGCTCCCGATGGGGCCACGAAACGTGTGAGGGGTGTGCCGAAATGGTTGTGGGTGACGCATGCGGGCGCGGGCACTGGGGCCTTCGGTGGAGCTCCCTATGGAGCCACGAAGCGTGTGAGGGGTGTGCAGAAATGGGTGTGGCTGACGCATGCGGGCGCGGGCACTGGGGCCTTCGGTG